CACACACACACGTGTACACGCGCACACACACGCACGTGTACACGCGCACACACACGCACGTGTACACGCGCACACACACATGCTCACGCACACATGCTCACGCACACATGCTCACGCACACATGCTCACGCACACATGCTCACGCACACATGCTCACGCACACATGCTCACGCACACATGCTCACGCACACATGCTCACGCACACATGCTCACGCACACATGCTCACGCACACATGCTCACGCACACATGCTCACGCACACATGCTCACGCACACATGCTCACGCACACATGCTCACGCACACATGCTCACGCACACATGCTCACGCACACATGCTCACGCACACATGCTCACGCACACATGCTCACGCACACATGCTCACGCACACATGCTCACGCACACATGCTCGCGCACACATGCTCACGCACACATGCTCACGCACACATGCTCAGCGCACACATGCTCACGCACACATGCTCACGCACACATGCTCACACACTCACACGCGCACGCGCACGCACACATGCTCACGCACACATGCTCATGCACACATGCTCACACACTCACACGCGCACGCGCACGCGTGCACATACATGAGTAGCGTCAGTAAGGTATCGAAAACAGCCTAATTGAAAAAAGTGGGCATTCTTTACCCAAAAAGATCTATTAAGTGGGATGGGTCTTGTTCCGCGTGTTCACACTTTTTCTATTCAAGTGTCAAGATCTTTGGCGTTTTTTCACCTGATTTTGGCAGGACAAGATCTATCCTCCCAACTTTTCGACCTTCACCTGAAAGGCTGCTCATTGAATATTTACCAGATCCTGGTCTTTTTATTCCACATCGTCGTCCGCCGTTAGTCATCCCGGATCCTGTAGTAGAGCAAATTCTACAATATCTGACATACCAGGACTTGCTGAATCTTGAACAAGTTCATAGCGCCATTCAATCTGAGGCACGTTCCAACTGGGCATGGCGTCCACACTGTATTGATTTTAACGTAACTACTCTGCCGCATTATATTTCGGTAAGCATAGTGGGCAGATTTGTCGTTCACTGCTGTAGATCCTCTATTTCTCATCGTCTGTTGCCCAATTTTTAATGTTGCTTACCCAACATAGATTAACGTGTTTTCCTGTATGTGCACATGTAAGGCATGAGATTGTCCTCTGTAAGGGCTTAAAATTTGATCTAGGTTTTTGTTAAAAGCGTTTGAGTACCCTGCTGACAGAACTGAATGAAAACTGCCATTTTCGTAATAATAATAAACGCTGCTGATCTATGCCACTTTCGTTAAGTGTATGTCCGAACTCTTATTAGCAGTACGGTTACGAGCGTTTGTATAGTTAACTTTTTAATGCTGATACATTCTATCACAAAACGTGCCAATGATTGTGAGCAGCCGAACCGACGGGACGCGTGGCGACAAGCGTTCGAATACGAAATTCTTAGGCCAGCTCAAAACTGGGTACGTAACAGGGCTTCTTCACGCAAGGTTATCGAAGCTCATCCGTACGCCTTCTTGGAAACGCTAACCTTAGCTGGTAACAGAGCGATTTCCACTGGTGACGACGGTTCGATAACTTTTTGGGATAGTGACACCGGTACGTTTTCAACAATTTTTCATAATCGGGTGAAAGCATTTAAATTCGTTAGCAATGCGATGAAAAAAAAACATTCTAGAAAATCGAATATGGCGAGAAATTTAAACGCTAAAGGCGCGAAAATACAAATGCTAGATCGTCACTATTCATTTAGTCTTTACATTTTCACACCCGACTTCGTATTGTATATAGGTAAGGTAAAAGGGAAGTGTACACTTGGTATCCGAGGGATGTCACGATGTATAGCATTATTGAAATTGCTTTTAGCTGTTGTATATACGTTAGGTTTCCATAGACCTGCACTCAGGTGATAAAACAGTGTAAACGTTCATCAAATATGCTTTCATTTTCGATTTTCATAGGCGAATCTATTAGTCACTTTGATATGGACGTCAACGATGACGGCAACTACTGTCAACTCATACATGTTTTCGGACGTCGAGTTCTCACAGGCAGTCGTTCCGGGGAAATAATGGAATGGGACCTGAATACAGGGATGCCTGTCAATAGGATCCCGAGCCCCGTTGCTGGAAACATTCGCAGTTTTGCCATCTATAAAAATTGGTGAAGAATCTTAATAATTTATCGTTAGATTTTATAACAATCTCCATAGTGAAGTACTTTTGAATGTAACGAATGATCTTTACTAATTTCCACCAAAGGCAATAAAGACTAAAAACAAATAGCGCCTAGACAAGTTAGAATGAATTCAGCGGCACCAATCCGACGAGTTACGGACGTGTCCGTAAGTCCATTAGTGTAGATGACGCCGCAAAAATCAAACGTAAAAAGCATGAATCTAGTGAACCAAGCTTAGGCATAGGAGACACGCACGACCTTCGCACTAGAATTTTTTGCCCTCCTATCACTTGTACGGGGCTGATGCAATCGATTCAATTATGTTGCTTCAGGTAAAAAAAAAAGTAATGACGGTAGCGGGGTTGTCATAGCGGACGGAAATATCAACGGAACTGATAGGCTATGATCTATATAGTGAGATCTGGATTGCAGAGGACTCGTTACTCACGAATAACCATTTCATTGTAGTGTGGTATAGTAAGAGTCCTTACTATCTCGAATAATAATAATCTGGTTGCTAATGAAGTGCTTGATTTATTGAAGCTAGCGAGTAAACTGTTACCTATTACGAGAGTTGATATGTTTTCTCCGAACTTAGCGAGCGGTCTTACCTCTCCCCGAACTAATTACATTTTCGGTGCTCGCCGGTCGGCCTGGTACAACGTATAAAATAACAGCATGCGTACGATCCCTTAAATATTATGCAGGGCCGCCTACTTGGATGAAGTTGGCGATCTTCATTTATGTGACCTGACAGACGAAGGACGAGGGCAAAGGCTATGGGTAGGCCTCGATGCCGTGAACGTTCTTCTCAACTCTAGAAGCGTTGTAGTTCACAGGGCAAACGGTTGGGTTCTAGGCGTATCCTTGCAAGACTACGCGATAACACAATTTGTTGGTGCCTATCAAACGAGGCCATTGGAGGTCCTCTTGGACGACATTTATTTAGTCTTAGCCGATCAAAATCAAATGCGAGTGTGGAACGCGCAAACCGGCGCAATTATTCGCGTATATGTACTCTTCCAGTTTCCATTTATCACCGATCGCGGAGGACACCAAACGTTCCTCCACCACATGTACAAAGGTTGGGTCGCGGTTAGCAACTCGGACATGCTTTGGCTGTTCGACCTCGGCAACGACAGGCTTGTCCTCAGAGTAGCACGCGGTGCCAGCACCGTGCAGTCCGCTAGAGTTGGCGACTTGTTTCTCGTTGTTGGGGACAAAATGGGTTACGTAAGATTATACAATCGTGACACTGGAGCCTTCCTCTGCAACCTATGCTCTCCACCCGAGCCAGAGTGCGTGTACAAGATTCGGATCGACAACAAACGACTGCTGGTGGGAGGACTTAGGAACGGAGTGTCAACACTAATGGTACGTGGCCATCATTTACTATCACTCATCGCGTAGTTTCTGCTTTGTTGTAATTTTTTTGATTACAAATGAGAACAGAAAATCAAAACCCTATCGGGTAATCGAGAAAGCGTTGTTAAATAACTTGTTGTTAACGTCAACACCATGTTTCAGTAAACACAGTCCTCGCTAGTCGAGTGGTTTCTGCGTCCTCTTAATGTCACATTGTCAAGGGATTTATGCAAATATCGAAACAGAAGATAAGCCCATAATGCATGATCGGGGCTATGCGCGCGACTGATAAGTTAGAAATACTTTCTTTGCCGTCGGTTCGGGCTTTGCCACAGTCCGTCGTTTGATCCTGTCAGCGCTTAAAAATAGGCCCCCTTTTCCTGCGTTTTGTTTTGCAGATGAAAGTACGATGAAGTATAGTTCCGTTGTTTACGTCAATGCACATGACCTTTTTGTGAGCTCCGTTAGCTTTGTTTCCCAGACTCACTTCTCCATGATTTGAATGAATTACAACTGGCCGCGCGGATTGCCGTATGTAAGAGTGTGAATTTATCTATCAACACCACCGCTTGTGTGACTCAAATGAATCCAGGGATAGAAGTCGTAGCAAATTGGCCAGTGCATGCAAAGTAATTAGAGAAGCTTCGAACGTGGTCTGACACAGGTCTTTCCAGCGTCAGTCTACAAGGCTAGAGCATGACAAGGGATAGGGGGTATGTGCACAGACCCTTTGCTTTTGTAGGGTCCTCCTTCGTTTCGGGTGTAGGAAAGAAAGGATAAGCAAGCAAGGAAGGACGTGTAGGAAGAGCGTAGAATAATAAGAAGGTTAACAGATGGGTATCTTTCCCTCAACGGGTCCTAAGGCCGCTTAGCATAGGGAAGAGGCGAGCTTATTGTCAGACATGCTTTTTTACGGAAGAAGGAAACTGTGGGACATTCACAGCTAGCAGCATGATGATCAGGTCTCGACGAAACGATATAGTAGGGAACACCGTCCGTCGAATTAGTCTCGAGCGGTCACTGTGTCGTTTTCAGTATTATATAAATAGTACGAGACTTTATAAAAGGTCTCGTGTGGCCGGATTTCTACTAATAGTCTAGAGCGTCAATGGCAAGGAATTCGATCAATAACAAGTATCCCACTGGCTGGCATTTTTTATATCATTAGGCCATTAGGTATAATTATTAGGAATCTAATAATTATAATGGTTAAGTAAAACATACAAATAACATGCTCCTTTTTGTCGGCAGTTCGTTAACTTCGCGGATTCGCAGCCACCTCCACTATCGTTACTGGTGGACCCAAGTGATTTTGAAGAAACTACTGATGAAAGACAAAATTAATTGACCCGAGCTATCAATCAAGCTACCCAATAAACTTATTATTAGTTATTTGATTTTACAAATATATGGACGTGAAGTGTCGATTTCCTCAGATTCCGAAAAATCGGAACTGGTCATAGAAGTTTGGAAATTTTTTCTTCACATGATGACCGTACATGGCTATGATATTAGCGAAGTTTGTGCTAATTAGATACTAACTTACGTTACGTAAGTTAGTTGTCGTTGCTATCGGAAAACGACTGGACAATCTATATAAATACAATATTAGTGGTCGGTACCGTCGCTGATTAGTAATTAGCTCCCCGATTCACATACGGCGGTCGTATTCCATGTGCATAGACTTCTCTGGCCAATAACTTAGACAACTCAAGTATCTATGATTGACGGTCTTAGACAACTCAAGTATCTATGATTGACGGTCTTAGACAACTCAAGTATCTATGATTGACGGTCTTAAGTATCTATGATTGACGGTCTTAGACAACTCAAGTATCTATGATTGACGGTCTTAGACAACTCAAGTATCTATGATTGACGGTCTTAGACAACTCAAGTATCTATGATTGACGGTCTTAGACAACTCAAGTATCTATGATTGACGGTCTTAGACAACTCAAGTATCTATGATTGACGGTCTTAGACAACTCAAGTATCTATGATTGACGGTCTTAGACAACTCATAGACCTCTCATTGACGGTCTTAGACAACTCCAGTATCTATGATTGACGGTCTTAGACAACTCAAGTATCTATGATTGACGGTCTTAGACAACTCTTATGTGGTTGGCGCTAAATAAAAAAAATGTTGCAACTGTTGATCGTCTTGAATGTTCCACAGAGAAACATTTAGATAAATGTAAGTGAAGTCGGCTTACGGTCGTCGTTTAGCTACGACCCATGGAATATATTGGCTCCAAGTCCTTTTCTACTTTCGAAACACCAACGACAAACTCGTCAATGTGTTTCGTTTGAACGAACTCGATTTTTCCATTTTTGACATTTTCGAGTGGTTCCTGAAAATAGGTACTTGTAAATCAACCTTAGCCACTCGATTGGCCTCGAATAATCCGCAAACGTCTTCCTTTAACGCTTACAATCAACGGAATACTGCACTGACATCTCGCCACTGGTATCGGCCGTGGCAGTCATTATGTCATGTGACAGCTGAAAACTCAGCTGATTGAATAGCGTGTCGAAACTCTGTTCTCACACTCTGCTTCCGAACTTCTGAACGAACCTTCCGAGTCTGATTATAAACTGGAAATAAACACAGAAAATATGTCGCAGAGTATTGCAAATGTTGATTATTCATGTTTATCAAAATAATAAATGTTCAGCGGTGTAATAACTGAGATGCTTTTCTGCATCAGTAAGTAAACACTATGGGCTTTCAACGCCCTGTTTTCACATTTTTAAAGTTTAACTTAGAAAATAGATATTTTAAATATCAATCTGTTTTTTTCTTAGATAAAGGCTACTCAAATCTGACAAATACCCATCTAGATTGGAAAAAGGAGTGGAATTTATATATATATATATATATATAATTTTAAGGGATACGTAGAGAGATGTATGGTCGATTAGAGAAGTCGAGAACTCTGTAAACGAATCACTAAATTACGTTGAAATTCGTCCACAGTTTCACTGATGGTTGTATCGATCTACCAAAAGTGTCTCTTGGTAATGGAGTGCCGCAAAGCTCGGAAACTACGGTGTGCATTTTATGCAATATATTCCACGTGAAAACTAAAGATTACGGTCTGTATGATGATTGTAATCCACTGAAGATCCAAGGAGATTTGTTACCTAAGCGTGTACGTCCTAATTAGTTTACATTTTCATTAAAATAGACCCCTATAAGTTGTCGCCAAAAGCTTGTCATTAACGATCTATGGTGAATTCCGCTCTAATCATATTCATTTTAGATTTTAATCGGTAACTTGCCTAATTTGCCAGTCAAATGTCTATAGGGGAGGGGGGATTCTCCGTCGTACAGAAACAAGGTTCCGTTAAACACGCATGACCTCGAGACTAATGTCGGCTAAATGGGTTTCCATGAAGCTACCTGTGGAACTCAAAGAAAATAAATGAAAAAAAAGAAAATTGCATAGTAATGTCACGTAACGTAGCAAGTTTCGTAAGTCATGTAAGGTACTGCAGTAATATAAATAGTAATGTAAGAATAGGATTGTCAAGTACCATCCTAGAAAGTCTTCTGGTGGGCCGGTTACTGAGTCAGTTTCCTAGTGACAACCTAACTTTTCCACATTTTAGTTTCAGCGACGATTCCCGCAGCGCTTCCGACCAATGTTGTGCTGGCGTTTGCTATTAAAATTCATTTAAAAAGAAAAAACCATCACATTCGTTCCTGGATTCGTTCTTGATTGCGAACGCAGACCTTACTACCAGTTCCCTATTTATTCTGTTGTAGATCCTGCAAGTTAGCAGTGGTATTACAAATATCGTGCAATAACTTAACGGTATCGTTGTTGTCTTGATATTCCAGGTGTGCGGTTGTGTACGTACGGTCATGTCACGTAAAGCATAAGAATCTTACTCTGTTTCTATTTTTAACCAGAAATATTAAAAAATTGGTACTAATGAACTCGGCGCCGATCTTCTTTGGAGAAGGAAAGTTTTTGTCGCAGCTCAATGGTAACGTGGCTGCTTAAAAAGGTTAGAGGGACATGTAAGGTATATATATATGCAGAATAGAAAGGGTTGGAGACAACGTTTATGCTTGAAGAGACAGAGAGAGAATAGGGCAGTCATCGGATGTAGCGCCTAGAAGCAGTTCGACGAATAATTTTCAAAAGGCAATCGAGTACCGCACGGGGAAATCAACACGTATTTGGCCCTGTAAAGCATAAGTCTTGCTACGCTGAGTCTAAGATTGACAAAGTTCAAAACCGAAGTTTGGGGAAAGGAGAATCCGGGCAGCACGATTCGGTACGGATGGGTCGTATTGCGTTTTCTGTGCGTGAATCATATCAGCCGTCTCGAAGACGGACTGCTTTGAACGGACGCCAACGATGATCGCATTGATAAGTAGAGTGTTTATAAAATCGGTTCTCTCTGGTCGATCACGAAAACCGTTTGCTTCAGCTAAGAACAGCGGACACAGAAATTTCCGACAGGATTAACGCAGTCGTTGGCAAACTCGTACGCTATTTCAGTTCCTGTTTTTAATGCTTCGACATGTAACTTCTCACTTCTTTTTACCGAAGGAGAATTTCGAACGCATATTGTTAGAAAGATCTCGAATGTAAGAAACAAGTGGGGGCACCTATATCATAGGGCCATTTATAATAATAAAATGATTATCATCAGTGTTTCATTTGACATCGTTTCTCAGGTAACCGATATCAATGCAAACTAAAAGTGAATCAAACTCTTATGTTATTAAACAATATTTATTGTTACTCTCTGGCCATTACTCTGGTCGTTTTTGTATAGTAGACTCACGTAATTACAAATCATCCTGAAATAATAATCATTTATATATATATATATATATAGCGTGAACATCGTGCATCTAATAACAACTAGTCAGGCGCGGTGCTCTATCGTGTCGATGCAGAGCACGAATGATACTATCTTAACAAACGCTGTCACGCGTGACACGTGTGTAGCTCTGGAAAATGAAATTCTGCTCGTTTTTGATGAAATCGGCTAGCTAGATCATCTAATCACTAGTGGGGTTTCGGATGACCCGTCGCTGGGTGCCAGCAGTAAAGCTAACCGACGACGGTTAATGCATTGACAAAAGAATACGAAGCAATGCCCATATCAAGATCTATGATTGTCTGTACTTTGGAACAAAGGCTGTGCGCCAATCGCAACGGATCCAGCGTGAATTCCGCACAAAGCAAGTCACACCAGAACGAGCCCTGGCAACGGCAATATCAGCGTCGTTCATACGCATGGATTCAACGACAACGAAACGATCCGCCAGCGACGTGGAACAGTCGCCTTTGTATAAGTACTTGCTACGCTTGTGGCAATGGGGAACATTGTTTGTCGCTGTACGTTAAACCAAAGATGATAAATGCTATTCAGAGGAGAGCCTATCAATGTAGAATACATAACAACTGGCATACGGAAACAACGACAAGATCCATCAACAATGACTGAATGTATTGGAGCGATGGGTTATATGCTTGCCTTCTTACCCCCCCCCCCCCCCCATACGTTCCGTCTTAATGCCATGTTACTAGATTTGTTTTACTCTCTGATGAACTTCCTTGGCATGCCTCTTGCCGTCTTGATGCCTCTATTCTTTGGAGCTATAAATAAGTACTTTTGGGCCCTTCGTCTCTTTCTTGTCCATAATATACCGTAAAGCGTTATACCAGCTATTATACCACCTTTACGCCCCATAAATATATGTATATATGTGGGGCGTAAAAAGCCCCATATATATATATATATATACTCACTTGACACCGAAGCGGAAATTTGCCTAAATTATCGCCTTACTGCGCCATCTTTGCAAAACGTAGATGTCATGGTTTCGTAGGGTACTTATGCCAGACGTTTCTAAAACGTCGCAAAAACGAATGATACGTATGTCATATATTATTAAAGTGGCCACGACAATTTCGTAGTGTCTAGGCGCCATTGTACGCGTTAACACGCCAGTAGCTGCGTCAAAAGCCGTCCACTTATTGTTAATAGTTGTTAGCTAAAAAAGGAAAGATACTCAATGGATACAGAACGCTGTGCTGGAATCGTCAAACGTGCCAGAATAGTAGAGACAGTAGACGATTTACCGAACACAAAGATATTTTGCTTGAACATAAATTGATAGAGAAAATAGCCAGATGCGTTTGTAATCTATCTTAAACTACAAATTAAAAAAAATGGGTCTTTGTAACATCGATATCTTCGTGGTAAGATAAACAGTAGGGTATGACAAATATATTTCATTCACCTATAATCACGTTTTGCTGCAAATGATTAATAGTGCTTGAACTACCGAGCTGCCCAGTATTTAAATGGGACTTGGAAAAATCAGTTTTACCTGTGGATACGGCCAAAATTGGCACAAACGTGGAATGGGTCAACGGCAACAGGGTGTCGTTTTGACTGCAATGAAAACACGTGGTGTAATTAACACAGGGGTGTGAGGCAGCTGATTCAGCACCACAGAATGAGAAAGAATTATGGTAAAACATCCAATTAGCTATATAATCGAAGCAAAAACTTAAAAGGTAATACGACAATGGAATAACCCAGCAAAAAAACGGTGCTACACTTTCGATATCGTAACAGAAACAGAAAAGCAAAATAACCGAGATGAATTTGAAGCCAACACTCAGGTAGTGGATACAAACACGGCAGCATGTGAGATCTAAAGACGCATAGGTCAGGTCTGTGTAAGAGGTGACTGGGTTCGTTCGTAGACAGTTCAAGCAGCAGCAGTCGCTCGACCCTGATGTTTGTTGTCAGTACTTATTAAATAGGTGTATAAATCAATATAGTAAAGTAAAAAAAAGCTTTTATAGTCAATAAACATGTGTCTTTGCGCATTAATAATCTGTTTCAAATGTGTTTCACGCATGTTGTTGCTCCAAATTCGCCTAGCTAGGCCGGTATGCCATTCTGCCGCCTTGCGCCATCTTACAAATACATTGTGTCTTACCTTGTCGGATCACTGGGCTGTCCTGTAAGGCGAAAGCGTACCGAGACAATAACTGTCCCCTTCTTAAATTAAAAAATCTATGTAAATTCAATTGACACGTATCGGTCAGGTTGAATAGGCTGGCATCTACTATGCCAATGTTATGCCCTTATAATACCTTCGTCACCTAATGTAGGCTGTCTGGTGTCGATCTTTGTAGAAGAAACCAGCATGAAAATGTTTATATGTGTATATGGTAAGCGCTGGATAGTTAACGCAAAGGCTCAATGTGTGTCATCTCAAACTACTCAAACAAGCATAATGTTGCATTCGAAAAAAGGCTTAAGTATGAGTCCACAGAAACGTCTACCTTGATCACTAGATAATAAGAATGATTTTGACCACAGTTTAAGGACATAATTCTGTCTAATAATTGCTCAACTGACGAAGGAAGGCGTCTTGTAGGCAAGCTTAGCTAAAGAACGATATATCGAGACAAACTGCGTTGCCTCTCATTGTGGAAGTGCTTATGAAAAGGCTGAGTGTACCCTCTTATGTTTCGAGTTTTATGCCCGGTATCATCGCTAGGCATACTTCCATCAAACGGCCGGCTTCCAGCGCGACAGCAAATCTATCACTTACGTATCTTGAAGATTAATAGGCAAACGCGTCGCCCACTAACTTGTTGATTCTCAAATTTACGTTAAGAAAAAACTTGCAAATTCATTGCATGAACGTGGTGCCGTCAAATAACGTATGCTATTTAGTACTGTTTAGTAATTCACTATGGCATGTAGCTTCCAGAAAGTGAAAGGGAATATGGTATTATCGCTCGATCGTGGTTAAATAACCAACATTTTCTACAAGTTTCTATGTCACAAGGAATTAACGAGCTAAAGATTATATAGGCACGGCACTCAGGGCGAAATCCGGAACCAGCATCTTGATACCGAGCGATGTACAGCAGGCCTGTCATACGGAAAAGGCCCGTAGCGATTACTCATGCGTTCGCATCCCCTGAAGTGCAGCTGCGTAATGTTCCGATAGTTACAGGGTAGTCTTGATAGACGTGCGAAGGTAAAGTTTCCTACCTCGGATCGACACTATTTTATCATTGATACTATTAGGTCTCTGCGCTCATTAGGAGATCTGTGCTTTGCGTGATTCTTCTATGTTGTCCAACGGGTTAACATTCGGAAAATGCGCAATAGGTTGAAAACGTTAATCTGATTGCATCAAGAATTTCCGAACGCCCTGCATCGAATATAATATGGTGTGTGGGTACTTATACGGCTCCGCATATAATCGGCGCCGGTGTTTTTTTTTATATTAGGTGACCTACTTTTTTTCGGCTAACCTGCCTCGTGCTCTTTAGTGTGCAATATTTTCAGTGACTGTTCACTTGGAATATACCGCTCAACTTCAAAGTCGATCACTGATTCTTAGGGAAACGTTTTAATGAGTAAAAACTATAACATATATAGTTTCTACTAGGAATTAATGCGATCCTCATAATTTTAATATGATGAACACAATATGTTCCAAGTCCACTCATTGTCATACTCACTCCCTTCCTTATGTATGTGAACGTGGTAAAGGGACGTAGAAGCTAAGATGAGCTGAGTCTAGTTCTGAAAATGTTACTAATCGAAGCTGTTTCAAATTGCCCCCGGTTAAGTTCGTTTTCATATAGTATTTATTCCATAACGAAGAATTCTAAGTGAATCAAGTGACCTCACCTTAGCGTATACGGGGTATCTTGCCAATTTTACGATAACATGACGTTTCATACCTCACATTTCCTGTCGTAATTATTAAGCACGCCAAACACTGGCTTGGGTACTAGTTGCTACAAGTGATAGCTATAATTTCACTGAAAATGGCTAGATTCAATTCATATTTCGTTCAAAATCCATATAAGATTGGATACCTTCTGCAGAAAAGCATGTATTCCTAGAGCGCCTAAACCGTTCTCCGGCCCCGCAAAGTTTGACTATTTCGCATCGTTCTTGAAATGGACGAAATCACATTCGAGTGTAATCATGGCACGTACGTAGTTCACTAAGTAAGCAGAAAATCCAAAGCAGGTCCAAAGATCTGCAAAAGAAATGCTCGTGCGCACATACACTATCAGCTTTAGACCTTATGATTTGTTTCCTGGTAAGTACCGCGCATTAGAGCCTAGAATCACGCCGTATCACACACACGTTTCTGTATTTCTGTTAACGAATAGTATGGGACATAATTAGTGCCATGGAATGAGTTGGAGCGTCAGCTGAGATCCTTTCGTATAGTACTTAGTCCCTATGGGCCAAAATTTCCCTTACGGGCCCTACTGAATTTTACGTCGGTTACTGCCTTGATCAAGCATTGTTTTAGACAGATGGCTGCTATCGTAGTCGCTGCACGTAATAAATCGTATGTGATTATCTTGGATTCCAATCTAAACGATTTTAATAGTTTAACGTGCGAACATGTTCCTTTGCACTATTACGGGTATTCTTCTAGATAATGGCTGCTTTAGAGTCGATTGGGCTATGGGGGATTTCACTTACAATGGTTATTTACTTAATAAGGTTAGAAGTTACAGAACTTTTACTTACACTTCAGTAGACTTGAGTTAGTGCCTAATCTCTCAACGGGCTAATGCTGTTTAACGCAAGCGTTAATGGACGCAATCTTAAGTCACGCTATTTCTTGACATTTCTATATTTAACTGCTGGTTCATGTTTCTAAGATGGAAGTAGACGAGAAAGAGTAACGAACCTCGTGACGGCGTCTACGACGCGCAACCCTTCTTTGATGGCCGATGATTTTCACACATCATGGGTGCATGACTTTGCTTTTTTATACAGCACTTGTGTATGTTTGTGCAACAAGACGAACCACATATCTAGTAATGTGCTTCTTTAGTAGTCTTCTAGTAATGCAAGAGATTCTTTGTCTTTCTAAGCTAATTTTTACGCGCTTCGACCCGACGCACTTGAGAAGCTGTTCCCTGTCACTGCCCGAGTTTTCAGCGGTTCAACGATTATCGCAGTAATGACTAAATGTTCCGTAGCTATCAGAATATCAGTATCTCGCGTAGTTGGTGTGACGCAATATTTGAGGTACAGTATACTGTTATAATTACAACGGACTGACCTGTATTGCATATTACATAAAACGACTGATGGTCTCACTGGCGCCCAGTGAAGGCGTATTCGTCGTACGAAAGTATTCGATGACACTGGTTGACCTGTGGTTGGGGTTGCCTAGTTGTCTCTATTTAAAGACGCTATTATTGGGAAAGCAGATGATATGCCATAATGAAACGTCCCGTGCATGGTGTCCTCACAGGCTTCTAAAAATTTTTGGCAGTGTCAACATGAGACGGAATCCATTTACGGCCGGATTCGAACCTACGTCATTATCTGTTTCGAAGTTCGGGTCTCGAACACGTTACCCACTGCACCATCACAAACCCGTTGTCAGTCATCACTTCAGAAGAAAAATTCGTTATACCGGATAGTTTGTTACGAATTTGTTGTGTTCAATGGCTTATTTATTATTAATTTCTCTTAGTTTTTAATTAAGGTGGGTTGTCTCGAATTAGTTGTGATAGGAATTTTGCAATTAATAGTCGCCGTCTCTGACGTCAAAGTGTGAAACTTGAAGTATTACCGAGACAGCTTGTGTAGGGAAATCCTAACTTATCTTTTTTATACGATAAGTTAGGAACTGATTTTTCAATTTGTCATATTTTTAACATATTTTAAACTGTAAACGCCAAGCGCTTCGGTCTATAGTTGATTCTGTGTGAGTTAAATATGCTTGCGATATTGTACACATTCTAAATTATGCTTTGTGCATTTGTTATTACTATTGCTGTTATTATCATGTACTTCATACACACATAAAGGACAAGCGACGTCTTGGATAGAATGCTATTGATAGTCTGCTAGCCCATGACGAGCTTATATAGCTCACTATTGTAATTATTATAACCAATGTCTTGTGCCATCTGTTGCCATCCGTCGATGATTACGCGCGCCCACATACCGCCAATTTATTCCGAAGGTTTTTTGTCACCTCAAATTAGCTAGTACCATTTCCGTATTTGCTAGCATTTGATGACGTGGCTCAACCGTAACGCTTTCTAAGGCGCAGTCCGTTACCAACTCTGCATTAATCAAATACGATACCGTCCTCGAAAGTCAACCAGTGTTACATCCTCGGCTGCCCAAACTCCAGAACCTTTTGACAAAACAGAATCGTGCGTCATTGTCTAGCGGAGACGGGTGAAATATTCCTATACATTCTTTCTGGAAGATCAATGTTCTAATAGGTGGCACATTAGAAGGCCATTCTAATCGTCAACTGGTCACAACGTTACGAGTTTACCGTGTCAGCGAAACGGACCGTTATATGATAAAAACAGGAACTGCACTGCTTTTATCATATAACGGTAGGATCATATAACGGGTTATCGGCGTCCAATAGACAGATGGGCCATGCCTGCATTCATCAATTTTTACCTGAAATATTGCTTTTGTAGTTCAAGACTAAAATTGTAGGAATACTTGTGGGCACGATGTTCTTTAATGTAATCCTAGGATCCTAGTTCTAGAATCCTAAGTGAGGCTTTTGATCTATAATACAAAATCGTGTTGTAGATAGATATATTACGGCTCCGTCGATAATGTTAAACCCTGAAATCCTAGCTCTTGAGAAATAAGCAATAATTATTGAAACTAAGCTATTCCGTACCTCAAGCTCATCCTCTTTCTCATCAATATCTTCAAGTAAAAAACTCTGCCTTTGAAGCACTTCTGGCGGCGGTACGAAGTTTACGAACTGTAAAAAAATAATTAAAATTATAATTTCAACAGCCTAAGCACCTATAAGAAAAATCGCATACGAGCGGTTTACCTTATGTGACGATCACCCTCAGCAGTAATCTCCAGTTTATATAAAAATAATTTTATCATTAATTTTGCAGTAAGGCGCAACATGCTGCCAACGTCCAGCTGGACAGTTTTATAGAACCTTATCTCCGTAGGAGATAGTGAACCTGTACCGAATTCAATAAAATTCAAAGGGAATGAATTAAGTGCTGTAAGTATGTGACGAATAAACCAAATCTCTGACTGAAATATAGCTAATTTAACTAACATATGTACTACATAACAAAAATTACAAAATTAAAAACAACATTGTATGACAAGGAATAGTGTATCTACAACATGTGCTTACCAATAAACAAGTGCGCCTTTGTCTGTGCCCAGAAACTACGAGTTTTCTATCATCAACATAAATTCGATAACACGTATCGAAGCCAGGAAGATGTCTGGTTCTTCGTTCGACGTGCTCTGGCCAGATTAAATCATAGATGAAATTGCCTGTGGGACGGTTCCACAACTTAACATAGCCATCCGCTGATGAGCTGACGACCGAATGTGAATTGAATTTAACATCCCGGATGCTCTCTAAGTGCCCTTTAAAGTCGTGCACTACTTTACCGTCCCGGGGATTCCACAGGCAAAAACGGCGATCAGAAACTAATAGTATAAGGTTTCCGTGTACAGAGAAGGTTGGAACACCAGGTCGCGCTGGGTCTTCAAGTCTAATCCATGAAGGGAGCTGAAGTTCGTGAGACTGCTGGAGTGTTTCGGAGTCCCAAAGGCAACATTTCAGGTCTGTACTTATCGTCAATATATAGCCGTTAAAAACTATCAGCCCCGCCACAGGCCCTCGGTGAGCATTGATTGTCCTTGCGGGACGCTGGGGCTGATTGGGATAACTGATCGTAACTGTGCCTTGCGAATCACCAGTGGCAATAATTTGGTCATTAGCTGCCAGAAGCTTCACCATTGTACCGCGATTCTCTGTATAGACGTACTGCCTTGTTACGACATCCCATACGTATATTGTTCCATCCGTTGATGACACCACAAGTCTGCAAGGTGTACAGTAAAACAAGCAGGATTTATATTGCAGATAAGTCGTTAGTGTGTATGTGTGCTCGAAAGTCTGCCGGTTTCCGTTAAACCTCGAAGCGTAGGCTATGGAAGTCAACATGGGCATTCCTATAGCTCTATTTAGACCCGAAATACGTGCATAGAACCGAGTAATTTTTGAGTTATGCAATGTGCCCAAACCGTGTGCCACCTTATTAAATATATAAGAAGATACCACTGGCTGGTAGCTAATATGGTAAAACCATTTGTTAAACAAGGCTTCGCGATTACGCAAACCAACCGGGCGAATGGTAATGGATAGCACCTCGATTACACTATTAGGGCACTGTGAATCTTACCGCATATTTAGAACAGATAAAAGAAATTAGTTTGAACGGGTTTCCTCTATTTTCAGCTATAACGATCGATGAAAACCTGGAAGAGGAGGTCTACGAAACATTGTTAGAATATACCTAATGGCGATCCCGCCAGCGGGAAAATTTTTTTCATCAGTAATACTGCTGTTCGACTGTGATTTTCAGATTGGCCATACTCTTCTTAGAGATGATATTAAAAAGCATATTGCTCTTCTTACGCAGAATGTCTCAGATATTCCTCTCATTCTGAACCATCGTACCGAAATACTTTGTTTCTTCAGCGTTCCGATGGGTGGTAAAATTGATTCTTCACGACTCTTTGGCATAGTCAATATGTGTAAGACGACTGGTTCTGAAATCAGGCTCTAGGAATCTACAGTCTGAAATATCTCGTGTTAACAGACCGACTGAGCGGTTTACTAAAGAAGAAGAGCCTTGTGAATGACATACGTAAAAACAGGTACTCCTCTACAAACATTGGTACAGATCTCTACCAAGTTACACAAGCTACTACAAGTTAGCTCTTACCGGTTACGTAGCAATTCCAATCCTTGGCTCGTCGCGAAATCTTCAGTTAGCGTATCAATCAATTGTCCGTCGTTGCTGTTCAATATGAAAACGTTCCCGTTGCTACCGGCTGTGACGGCCACGTTTCCCTCAATTTTCAGAGTCAAAAGTGGGCAGGGACTTCGAAACGTGTTTACGAGATCGCCTGTGAATCCAAAAGGAAAACTAGAAATATCGATCCATGATTCTGATTGGGGTGCCAGTTCGTTAGACCAATTCATCACACGTGACCCTTGTTACGCTAGGCGCGTAAGACTGAAACACGTTGGTTGGCATTTATGAAGCCGTGAATTTTATGGCATTTATGAAAACATACCAAATGAGGCTTAATGATATGCAAGATACTTTTCGGTATTGTTTAACAGGTTTCGTAATCGTCCCGAAGTGAAAGGACTCAGAAGATGCATTGGTGCAGATACCTTGACAATCTCGACTACATAATACATACTAGACCATTGTTACAAGGGCTAAAAAGCTACAAAAAAGTTTATTAGTTGTCATAGTACGTTTAGCTTTCTGTTCGAACAAGCAGCTCCGGTTGCGAGCAAAACAAGGTACGCCATTTTACCGCCTATACAGTTATAGGCACGTAAGGACAAGCTGGTTTGTTCTTGTGTTAACTGAATTGATTACTGGCTTTTCGTACTATGAACAAAGACGAAAATGCTCACCATTGTCGAAATCAAAAAATTGAACTGTATGATCCTCGCCAACTGTTATAAGGCGATTACCAGCACGTTCCATAAAAATTACGCCTGCGTTGTCGTGACATGGCACCTCCCACATAGAAGCTGGCCTGCTTTTTGCCCAGGTTCGGACGGGAATCATATGGTGTACGAGGTAAGCTTCTTTCCACGCTAGCGGACGATTCGACTACGAGAGGCATTCAAGGAAGCGGCAAATATATCACTAATTAGGCACTAATTAACTAATTAGGGCAGTAAATGCGGATTGTGTTCTCACAAAGGCCTGCTTATGTGCTGCACCTAACCGAACGGGCTAATGAATTGTATATAGAAGGGGGCAGCTAGAATGGGCTGAAATAAGAATGAGGTCTATATATATATATATATATATATATATATATATATAAGCGAATTAACAAAAAAACTCCGCGTAAAATCTTGAAGGAACTAAATCAATGATATTCACCAATAGGTTATAGCGTAAACTAAGTTCATTCAATGAATGAGTTGAATATTTTGTCTGAGAGATCCATGAAATCCAGGTGGCGTTTCTTGTGGAAACTATTAAAGTGAAAGCCGTTTGAGCATTTGTCAAGTAATTGCAATTTTTGGCTTGTATTTCAGTGCCATCTTATTATACAGACCAAGCCCTAACCTTGCAAAGAAGCATCTGTAACTAGCCCTTGACAGGCGCTCACAGGACCATTCATTGGGAAACGTGACGCTGATCAAACACATTAACCATTGTCCTGGCTCTGTGTGTGTTGAACTCGCACTTTTCCCTTGATTTTTCCCATCCTGCATATATAAGAATTCAGCATTGGAAGCCTACTTGATTGATACATACTTATCCACACGTATCATTATCTAGATGCCTTCCCCAGATCGCTGCGAGGACCGATTCTACCGTCTAGTAGATTTATCCGTGATAATACTCAATAGAATATCTTGTACTACTGTGAAGCATCGAGAAGCTTGACGTTCGTCACTTACAGCAATATCCGGAGGCAGCTGTTGAATGCCGATTTCATGGCATTTCTCCTGCCAAACCGAGTTGCTCGATGCTATAAATTGCCATTCACGCGAAACACTTCCCACCCGTAAGAGCTGATCAGGAGTTAGGCTGTTGAGTACTGCGAGTGAGGCAGGTTCTGGCAGAGTTGTGACTATATCCTTGCGTAACTCGGGCATAATCCCTTGCACTATGCGTTCTAGATGATCTTCAGATAGCGTCATTATTAAGTTGGTCAGCGCAATCCTATGCTGGTCAGGGGTCCTGTCGTGTGCGGGAACAAGATCGTTTTCTAAGCGTACAGCCGTTAGTTTCATATTATGGAACAATGTACCTAGCGATTGCATGCAGGAACGTTGCTTAGTAAATAAACAATATTGGGAAAGGTAGGCTTACAATAGCAAAAATTTCATCTCTAGACCCACACTTTTCCCATCTTTACCTAAGACTGCCATTGCCTCATCTTGTACTTAGTAGTCTTAAAATATTAGAAACTTCTTTTGCACTGAATTTAGACTAGTTAGGCCTAGAGCGATCAGCTGGCAAGTTTCGATGCGGACGATAATGCGAACAGATTCTCTTGTTGTCTTCGTGGGAACTCGTTTCAACGTGTGCTTAACTTGTTATCGTCTGAGTTCCTTTGTAACAGGCGCATAATTCAGTTCTTATGAATTACGTAATGTTGTCTACTTACAATGAACGTGCAAAACAAAAACACAGCTTTACTACAGTAAATAAGTTCGAAGTCCGGTTTGCACCGTAATCTGTACGTAAACTCACAATGCTTCTAGCTGCGCTAACCATCGGGCTACATCGTTCCGAATAGGGCCATTACGCAGTGAGCGAATAAGACTCACAATTCCACCGGCTCCACGGCTTTGTGTTTTTCTCTGAAGGGCAATACAGAACAAAAGGCATACGGACGTTAAGAAATACGCTGACTGCAGGGGCAGCAGTTAGCATCGGGAACTTACCCTAAAAACCTTTAAAACACTGACTTTGCGCATTTCACCAATCAAAGCTTCCGAAGAGCGGAGTTCTAAGAACACCTCTTTTTTATTAACCTCGTAGCTCTTGCCTCTTTTACCTCACAAAGAGTGAAAATAATAGCTTGACTTAATAACATCCTTCGATTGTTAAAAACAGCTGATGAAAACAGCCTATATTGGCGATCTCGTGCTCCGTGTAAACTAAACTTCCTACACAATATTGTAATGAATAGAATTATAGTATATTTCTATTAAATTATAGTATATTTCGATGTACGTATTTTGCTTCTCTGACCGCCGCTTAGTATAACACGTTTGATGTACTACCGCCAACCGAAGCTTAATAAATTTCCGTTTTTAGAGCTTGCGATCGCATTGTATATATTCATATTGTAGGACTTCATCATATTTCAATAATTTCCTATGTATTTTAAGAAGGCATTTATCGTGCTAAATACCCGTCAAAATAAATTTATTGATCAGTGTCGGTCTTTTTAGAAAGAAATTGCACCCAAATCGTTCATCTCTGGCGAACGTGGACCAACCGGCTGCTGAGTAGTTTCCACGGATCAATACAAACTTAACATGGCACTCGATCCATTTAATTCTTATCTCTAAGACGTGAATGCTATCATTTTACTGTGGCCATTCTCTTTTTACAGTTCGACAGAGATTCTCAATTGAATTACAAATTTCGGACAATACCAACGAATTTTTTCTCGAGCTATTGACTTAAAAGATGCCCTCACCTTTTATCGAAGCTAATTGTTACCTCTGTCTCCTACGATAGGCGTTGGAACGGCCATTTTAGCCTTTTATTTAATAACTTTCTTAGCAGAGTTCACAACAATTAAAAACGTGCCTCCAACGTTCCGTGCGCAAAGTTTCGTTCGTTTAGAACAGTTAAACTATCTGCAACATTTACTTTTGCTACAAATTATTCCGAACCTCATTATTGTATTTACGACGTTTGTCACCACATCGACGACTTGCTATCTTCGGTCTCGAAGACATGTCTCTTTAGACGCTAGCGACCCGTGCATGTATAGGCGAAATGAAATCACTTCCGGGAACCCCTTTTTTTTTTATCCCAGCTGCCAATTTCAAACTGAAAGGGTCTTCGTTTTCACGGGTCAATTGCCAACACCTGTCTGCAGCACATCGAGAGCCTGTTTTAAGTTACTTGTCCAGCTTCCTGCCCGGTCCGCCAGCTTCGTTCCGCTAGAAGCTGTGGCGTGCAGACTGAAAGTGATACGCTACACACTCGTCTTCACTCTGTTCCCTCATGTGAGTATATAAGCTACTGAGCACGGGAACTCAACTCTGAATGACGGCAGCAAGAGGTTGCCAACGTTGATGGTCAGACATATTGGCATTACTTGCTATTTTTAAATAAGTCGTATGTATATATTGTTCTTTATTTAGTCACGCCAAGCGAATAATATGATGAACGCAGCATGAATAGAGCCGTGATTTTGCATTTTTTTTTGTCGTTCGTCAAAAACCCTGTGTAGTCGATGACGCTGATTGACGACGCTTAAATTAGTGACCCCCTTAGCCTTAGACAAATCTAGAAAATTTGTAGTGTGCGAGAAAGCCCCGCAATCCTTTTCGACTACGCGCAGAACACATCCAAGTTTGTGTCTGCCGGCGTTGGCATTGATTCCTCTGAAAGAACCATCTTTGGTGAAACTCTTTATCTAAATGCTACATACATATGAGATACTAATACCTGTATTTTTAAATGTATGTTTTTGTTTCGCCTTGGATCTCCATAAGTTATTCGTGCCTTACATACAAGAATCTAACTAAACTTGTAAATGCTTTAGGTGGCCAGGTTTGAAACGGGCGTCTCCATCATGCTGCAGTGGTAATACGTTGGCGACACGTGGTCGCTTAGGATCGAAACCGGTCGTAGACACTTCCTGTTTGGTGCCACAAGGTACCAGCCGTGTGAAGCAGTGCTTAACGTCAATTACGGACTAAAAATACAGCTTTATTTCGGTTAGGAACTGGATATAAATACGCTCAGTTTCGTGCATGGAGGAACCAACCGTGAGAAGCAATGCTTAATTAAGATAGTATCGGAGGCAGAACGTTTAAACTAATCTGGTTTAACGATTTGGATGGGGACACTTACGGCTAAGATGTAATGTGCATGCATGGACGAAACTATAACTTGAAGTTAGGATAAGGGTAAGTTAATATCGCACTGTATAAACTACAATGATGAAATGTAAAGAAGCAAAATTTCATGCGTCAAAAAGGAATCGCACAAAATTTGCAAGCGTCGTCGCATTTGCAAGCCCTGTAAACTATTATCTCGAATAGTTCTTAAAAAGCAAGTTAAAAATAGGCTACATATGTGCAAGAGCGGCTTAATTGTAACAGATTATTCTAGTATAGATGTATACTAATTACGCGTTTTTTTGTTAATTACTTTAGACTAGATGCTTTTTGTGTTTAGGTTGTAGTTTTTCTGTGTGCTATAGACTGCGAAGACCTAATGTACAGCTTGAGGATCGCGTCGGTAAATCGAGGGAAATCGATGCCTTGTGTTTCTGACAAATAAAAAAGTTTACTTTAAAGACTTTTTCTGTTGTGTACCACTGAAGATCTGTCTGTAGCTTTGCTTGTGCTACTCGAACCGACCACAAAGAGTGATCGGATTCTGTTGATTTTCGGCACCGTTTCACGTTGGTTAGATACGATTTGGTTTTCCCTGGGAGAGAGAGTTCCTAGCTTTGAGAGTACGTAGCAGTCAATTTAGACAAATCTACAGATTTTTAGCGATTCTGGAGCTTGCTAATTTTGAAAATCCTCTGGACATTACTGCTATTAGAAAATCTGGGGCTAAAGTATCGCGGCAAACACCTGAAGGCGAAGCATCGGTGCCCGAAGACGGGATTTACATATAACTCTCTATTGAGAAAAACCTCATCAGCGACAACTTCTTCCATAATAAAATTAAAAAATACGAAGCAAGCTGGTAGTTTTCCCAGAACTGATAAAACTCTTTACGGTGTATGAGAAAGGTGCTGAATTTCTGAAAGTTTCATTTTCAAACATACCATGATTCGAAAAGGAACTGCGAAAAATCCGTTACCCAAGAAAAAATTGTTGACGAAACGCGGATGATCCAATGTTTGTGTTTGATTCATCGTAATTTTTCAAGCATGGCAGGATTCCGGAGAAGATTTGTAATGTAGCTGCGCTAACCGTTATGAAGCCTATAAAAGGGCTATCTCATAAACGTAGTCTCGAAGTTTGCAGAACTTGGCGCTCGTACACTGTCGGAACTTTCAGCGACAATACTGTTCCCGATAAAGGCATAGTTTTATTTAAAGCCTTTTTGGTATGACGACAATTATATCCTTCGTACGCTTTATGTTTAGACGCTTGTTTTCGTGTCCTACCGATACTCGGTTGATTGCTATAGGAGCTTCTTACACGTTAATTTATGTTTAGAGTTTTACGTTCTGTGCGCTGTTAAGCATTACTCAGGATAGACTACTTTTTCTAGCACGAACATCTGCGCTTCTTCGGACGGAGGTGTTACTTTTTTAGTAGATCTGCCTATTTTCGGGAACGGTTGAATGGATTCTTTAACGAGGTACTTGAGTTTTACTAAAGTGCTCCGAAACTAGGCTTCGGCTAGTTGTGACGCTAAAGAAAAGGGACTTGCTGAGTGAAGGCTGAGGGTGGTAGCCATCGTATGAAACTGTGCTTTGGAACGGAATAGACGCTACGTGACTGTTAGGTAGAAATTTTCGGGCTAATAATTAAGAGCTAATGGGAGACGGAAAAATCAGTCGCAGAGTTAGCAACGTCGGTCGGAAGTAGATTGTCCTCTAGCACTGGAAAATAGCTATTTGTCTGAACCGTGTTGAATACAGAACGAAGCAAAAACATATTTCTGGAAACGTTTATTGGTATCAGTATATGCTGATGCCAAATTCTCGTCAGCAAATTTAGGGCGCCCGTGAGTAGGAACTTTGGCGACTTCGAAATTGATTTCACTCTAAATAGAAATGTTTCGACTTTGCAAAAACAAATTTTATACAGCGTTCATTTACGTTGTTCAAGGTTCTTTGTTAGTTTCAGCCGACGCTTGGTCGCAACTAAGCCATTGTGCTAAACTTTTGGTCATGACATACTGCTAACCGACCATGAACGCTGGTGTTTAACCGTTGCACTCGATAACTCTTTCCCGGCTGTATAATATTATTAATAATAAAATTAATAGCCGGAGACTTAGTACAATATATATCGATCACGTTTTCTATTTGGTGAAATTCTTATAGTCTAACTTTCTGACCGTTATCTACACCGTAGGCAAGATTTTCCTAAGATCGTCGAATTCGATTTGTTAAAAAATGATCGGTATACTTAGAAATTATAAGAGATCTCATTATACATTCACGGTTTTAAAATCTGCTAATTTACTTAGTAAAAAAACGAAGAGAGTTGATTCCAAAATTCGTTAGCTGAAACACTCCATGAAACTGTTACAAGACAGAGGTTTCTGAAACAGGTAGTCTGACGAATTAAGTATGCCAAAAATAGGCAAATTACGCGCGGACCGAATGAAAAAGAAACGTGATAACGTTGGGCGCTCTAGACATCGCTTTAAGGTTTGTTACTTACTGTTTCACTTATTATCATACAACGAGTGTATCTCGATATAGGATGTAGTCATGACCATGTGTGACACGAAAAGATCGTGTAACAAAACAGCTACGAGCTGCGGAGATGCCTCTGTTTGATTTGACCTTAATGAGTAAAATAAGTTCTCAAGTAAAATACGAGTCAAAACGAGTAAAATAAAAAAAAAAAAAGAAACGATTCCACCAGGGAGTAATCAATTTTTCGTGGGGCCCATGTTTGTAGCCGTTTTAGGTCGTACAGAAAATCCAAAACTGGTTTCCGTATGACGTCGCAGAATAATTTTAGTGGCCACTTTGAACTCTATTTCTAGTACTGTACCTATACGTCCGTAAGCCAATACACTTCAAAAAAACATTGAGAAACTGGAAAATTTTTTCGCTAACTTTCATTAAGCAGTGAACCAAGGTTTTTTGTGCTAAGTTCTAGATCAGATTCCCGGAAATGTTTAGTTACATCTGTTTCATTTAGTTTCTTCTTAAATTCAAAAGCTGCCAAAACAGCTTGAAGTACTTGTTTTGTATGCAGCGATAACGAACTGAGATGACTGCTCAAAGAGGTTCCGCAAGGTTTAAGATGGACATGCAGGGTATATACCACAGTCGGGCATCGATGAGAACTTCAGATGGCAAGCAATTCATTTACGAGCCGAGAAGAGTTATGATCATCGAACTGTTGTGAGGCACCTTTAATATATGGAAATTTATCGATAAGCAGGATCGTTGGTAAGTCCTGGTGGGAGCGTTATGAAAAAGCCCGGGTTTTAGTGGCGGCCCATAATGCCCGGCACCAACTAACACACAGCTACGCAACACGTAGATTTCTACAAGTTACGTAGTTTCTACAAGCGTCTCCACATCGATTGAAAAAACAAGGACTACGATTTGTTGATAGTGATGTCTTAAAAGTCGATAAACACTGAGTAACGTCGAGGAAGATGTCAACAACGATCCGTTATGTTCCACCTGCATCGAATGGAAGGTCCAAAGAACAAAGCGAAGGAGTCAGCCAGGGGGATTTTCGATGACTTTCTTTTGAAAGGGTCTCAAAATATGGCTGGATAAATTTCCAAAGACCAGCCATGATTTGGTGTTTAATTCAACCAAAACGCCGCACTTTGTCTGTCTGTGTAACAGGCGGACACTAGTATCTAATATGCCGTATTTTCCACATACATTTACGCAGAGATCAGGAAATGCTAAAGTGCGTGGGGCTGGAACTCCAACTAGCCAGGACAATGCTACGGCAGCAACTTTTCAAAGGCCTGGAAAACTCTTCAGGAACACTACACGTCACACACCGCAGGCAGTTGTTCCGTAAGTAGTGTTGTAGCTCTTTCATTCTCTTAAATAATGAAATCATTAGAAATATGCGCTGAAAATATCTCGTTTCTCAGTTTGGCAGTTACGACACATCTTAGCGTGATAACACACATACACGTACGCACACATGCACGCCCATATGCACACGTGTACACGCACACACACACATGTACACGCGCACACACACACACACACACACACAGTACACGCACACACACACACACACACACACACACACACACACACACACACACACACACACACACACACACACACACACACACACACACACACACACACACACACACACACACACACACACACACACACACACACACACACACACACACACACACACACACACACACACACACACACACACACACACACACACACACACACCACACACACACACACACACACACACACACGTGTACACGCGCACACACACGCACGTGTACACGCGCACACACACGCACGTGTACACGCGCACACACACATGCTCACGCACACATGCTCACGCACACATGCTCACGCACACATGCTCACGCACACATGCTCACGCACACATGCTCACGCACACATGCTCACGCACACATGCTCACGCACACATGCTCACGCACACATGCTCACGCACACATGCTCACGCACACATGCTCACGCACACATGCTCACGCACACATGCTCACGCACACATGCTCACGCACACATGCTCACGCACACATGCTCACGCACACATGCTCACGCACACATGCTCACGCACACATGCTCACGCACACATGCACG